GGTGAAGTTTGTGCTCGGTATCAGATATAACTGATTGAAATAGTTTCTTACACAGTTTTAGCCGCCTGTCTCTCAAGGAACTTATATTCAATTTCATAAGATTGTCCGTATATGATAACCCCGGGGATATTATGGACAGCGCACGCTTTTGAATGCGCTCAAGGTCATCACATAAATATGCAGGGAGAGCATGATGGAAAACAGAAGCACAATACTCGAGAACCGGTCTAATAACAGTGCAGTAAAAATTGACAATATCACAAGCAGGGACGTTATCACGCTTAAGCAAGATCAAGAAATACAAACGTTTATTTGCTTTCTTGATTACTTCGTTTACATGGTCAACCCATTGGAGTGAACTGGATATGATAACTCCCAACACCTTGGCACTGCTAACCAGTTCGAGTTCTTTGGATTTGATTGTTGATGATGATGATTATGATGATTTTATGATGATGATTTATGATGATTTATGATGATTTATGATGATTTATGATTTATGATGATGATTTATGATTTATGATGATGATTTATGATTTATGATGATTATGATGATTTATGATGATTTATGATGATTTATGAGGATGATGATTTATGATGGTGATTGATGATGATGATTTATGATGATGATGATGATGGTGGTGATGACGATTTATGATGATTTATGATGATGATGGTGATGGTGATGATGGTGATGGTAATGATGGTGATTGTGGTGGTGGTGATGATGGTGATGATTATGGTAATGATGATGGTGATTATATTGTAGTGATGATGATGGTGGTGATGATAGTGGTTATGGTGAAGATAATAATGATAATGGTCATGATCAAATGGTGATTATAATGATAGTAATGGTGGTTATGGTAATCATAATGGTGATGATAATGGTGATTATAATGTCGATGATCGTGATGATAATGATGATTGTGAATATAGCGTTGTTGGGAATGATCATAGTTTTACGATGGTAGTAGCTTCACAAAAGTTACTAAGCATTTATCATTTGAATTCTTTCAGGAGCGAAGTGAACTTCAACAATTGGGGCGGGGGCGATCCTAATAATGGCGGACGAAGGAAGAACGAGGATTGTGGAGTTCTCAAACCAGACGGAAAGTGGAATGATTTCCCGTGCAATCATCGCTTTATGTATATTTGTAAAAGGAAACTTTCATAAGGTTAGCATTGACTCGCACAAGGTGTCTAAAAAAAAGTATACTCTTTGAAATCAAGCCTTCGTTGGAATTTAAATGCCTTATTATTACTGTGCTAAACAGGGGCGTATGAAGCATCAAAAGATTGGTTTCGAGGGGCACTTTTGGAATGAAAAGGGGACCTGAAAACGTTTTCCGGAAATGTTGGCGTCGGGTGGGGGGAGGGGGGGGGACTGCAGTCATACAAAATGCAATCTGAACGACATTTTTCAAAAGGCAAAGGGCACTTTACCACCGGAGAGTGGGCATTTTTTTGTGTTTTCTGAAGGAAAAATAATTGCAATCGTAAAAAAATGCAATCTGAACAACATTTTTCACGAAGGCAAAGGGCACTTTGCCACCGGAGAAAGGGCACTCCGGAGAAAGGGCACTTTTTATGTTTTCTGAAAACTTGGGGGGGGGGGAGGGGTGTTTAGTGCAATTAAGATTTTATAAATAAGCCTATTCAGGTTAAGTACAAGATTTTCTACTCCTGGGAATTTAAAATACACAAAAATGGTCAAATTATTTATCAGTCATACCGTCAGCTCGAGCAAAAATGGTTCGACTGAGCAAAGAGTTTTTATTGTGTTAAATTATACGCTCAAAGTACATATTAACTCAAAATACATGCATAAAATTCGATTCAATGGATGACTCCAGCTGTTGACGAAATTTTGATCTAGACAAGAAGAACGGAAACCATTACCATAGCTGGAAAGAGCATCTTTAAATGAGTACAATTGCAAAGTTTGGTTGCGAATTGTTGTAAAATGAGGAAAGTGTAGCCGTGTGAAGTTCGCAAATTTTGTATATACTTGCATTACGCGCGGGAAAAATAACCATTTTTTCAACCGAAGGTGGTTATTTTTACTGCGCGCAATACAAATTTATATACAAAATTTGCGAACTTCACAGGGCTATATATTTTCTTCATTTTACACCATTTAGGAACCGATCTTTGCAGTTTTACTCATTCTAAGACGCTCTTTCTGGCTGTGTTGATGGATTTCGTTCTTCTTGCCTTGATCAAAATTTAGTCTATACTGTCGCTGGAATCACCACTATAATAAGGCATTCAAATTCCAAAAAAGCTTGATTTCAAAGGGTATATACGCATACCTTCAGAAATCACACTTTTGTTCTCTGGGAGTTTAGAATGTATTGGAATCGTACAGGCATATTAAAATTGCATAAAATGAACATGAAAGTTCTAATTATTGAAAGTTAAAACGACTTAGAAATTAGTCCCGCGTCAGTTCGATTAAAAATGGTTTTTCGATTCGATGCCAATGGTATTTTGTTCGGAGACGAACCATGGACGAATATTAACAAACTCGTAAAATTGTTTTTACGATTTTCTTTTGGAATGGACTTAGGAGTATGTAACAGAAACTAAACAACCTAAGAACTCGTTAAAACGCTTTAAAAGACACGAGTTTTTCTGATGTGGCAAAATTAAACATTATTAAAATTTCGAACAAGATGTAATTGCAACATGGAACAAAACACAGTAAATTTGCGTAATAAAACCGCCTCTAAAAATTAATGCGTGTTACTAAATTTTCGTCTGTGCAGTTATTACTTCGACTAAAGACACGAATAACACCTTACTCGAAAGAAAAAAGAACAGGCTTTACAATAAGACTAAAAACGTTTTATTAAATACAGTATCCTGAAAATTATTAAGCATAAAAGATGGACTTCATAACTAAACATGTTGTCGTTGTTGTCTTGTGAATTGCGACATTGCATTTAAACTAGAACAATCTTTTAGCAACGAAGCTTTTAGTTTTTCATACATTCATCGACTATAACTTACCATATATAAGGCCTTTGAGTACCAATACGAATGACAGTTGAATATTTGAACAAAGAAACACGCTTCAACGCTTCCATCCTTCGCCACCCAAGTTTTTGCCCGCCGTTCACAGTTCGCTAGAACTTTATAACTTGTTGAAATTCCATTCTTGCTACAACGGCACGAGACATAACATTTCGTTGTCAATACAAGTCGGTATAATTCAAATTTCGTGTCTTAATTCGCTTTAAAAGCCTTTTAAAGGCCGAGCGAACCCCTTTTCAACACGAAGGCCGAAGACAAATATGTAGATAGGTCTGAGTTACTTGCAAGCATGTGTTTGCAAGTACATATTTTCAACAGCAAATTATTCCCAAGGGGCACAGACGTTCAAATGTGGTTTCGCATGGGATTTTCAAAACAATGACAAGACAATAAAACATGCCATTGATGAGAGAGCATATAATTGAGAAGCTAGAGTTTGCATTAGAGTCGATGAGAAGCGAGAGTTTGCATGAGAGTTTTCTCAATTCTCATGTCCCGTTCTAACGAGAACAAGAGTCGCATGAGAGTTGATGAAAGTTGACTGGATGTTACCGCGCTCGTAGCAAAAACTCTCATCAAAATTTCAACGAGCGACACAGTACGGAGTCTAAAGCACAACACAAATTAAATAATCTTTTCTCTTTCTTTTTCAGAACGCTATAAATCGCACAAAGAACATTGAAACAGAATATTTTACGGTCTATCTGTTGTTGGCTTACTTGGAAGATAATTTCACAGCTGCATGGGACTACGTTAATATGCCATATAGAAAGATAATTTCATTGCATTGACTAAATGCGTTTGTACCGCCATATAAAGTCGAAATTATTGTCGATGATTGGCAAATATACAGAAAATATAACTATATAGGTTGCATAATTAGGTCGCAAAATTGTATATTTTATTAAAGGTGTTTCGTATAATAGTATAATTATTTTAGCAATTATGTTCATTCTTTTGTTTTTATTCAATCGGTTTTAGTCTTAACTTGCCTTAGACGGAAGATACGAAGAAAACTACGTTTGTTTATACTGGATAGCTCTATCAGTTCTAAACTGTTCTTCCTAGAGGTCCAGTAATGATCATCTCTTATTGATCCAGTGTTACTACAGGAGGAAACCTAAACTAAACTAACTTTATTTATACTGGATAGCTCTAACAGTTCTAAACTGTTCTTCCTAGAGGTCCAGTAATGATCATCTCTTATTGATCTAGTGTTACTACAGGAGGAAACCTAAACTAAACTAACTTTATTTATACCGGATAGCTCTAACAGTTCTAAACTGTTCTTCCTAGAGGTCCAGTAAGAATCATCTCTTATTGATCCAGTGTTACTACAGAAAGAAACCTAAACTAAACTAACTTTATTTGTACTGGACAGCTCTATCAGTTCTAAACTGTTCTCCCTAGAGGTCCAGTAAGGATCATCTTTATTATTGATCCAGTGTTACTCCAGGAACCTCGAACAGGAAAAGAGTGGATACTGGAAGCAAGCACAATCATTTTATTTTACATTTTTTTTTTGTAAAACCAAGGGGACTAAATATTAATCCATACATTAGGACTTAAGAACAAGCAATGCGAACACAGCCTGACATCATCTCGTTGGAACAACCTTGTAACACATCAGTTCAGTAATAGCTTGTGAACAAGCTGTGAACAACAATGCTGTTTATTTCAAATCACATTTATTTCCCTAGGGTAACCTCTTCAGTGAAGTATCAATGAGGGGCCCTAACACGCATTATGTAGCATATTCCTAACTATACTGTAAATCCCAAATTCAATTTATATTAAAAATTCACTACATTAAAACAATTCTTACTCCGGCTAGCTGGAAGAGGGGGACGGAGTCGTCGTTATTCATTGGCCTTTTTTTGCGACCTATAAAAATCAGACAGTACTTTCCATGCTTTGGGTGCCATAAACCCATCGGGGGGAGTCTCGCCCCGTTTGGCGATTTTGCGCATACGTGTACCAGAAATAAAATCGTAGTCTTCGTTGTTCGACGAGTCGAAGAAATCCATGCGTTTCGTCTTCTTGTTGTAAGCCGCTACTCGGAATGGAACGATTTCCAATTCGGTCAAACCAGGGGCCATCGTTAAAACCTAAATTAAAAATGAAATTGCTACAGCAACAAACCCGAAAACTGGCATGCCTTAGAGCTGTGCAAACTCTCAAACTCAAAACTGTGGAAATTTTAAGGAAATTTCATATTTAAAAGCAGAAGCAGGCGAGAAAGTATTTCAGTGTAATTTCAGAATTTATTTTATTCCTTTTTGAGCTTTCGCCTTTACTTATCAAATATACGTGCTTCGGTGCTTGTTTAAACAATGTTTTGTAGAAAGTAAAATCGCATGGCAGCGTGGTATTTCCCCCCAAAATACAAGGGCGTCAGCGGATTTTTGTATCAAAAGTGATAGCAATGCGCTTGCGGAGTTTTCGAAGCCACGAATCGGAGCAAGTAATTGAACTTTATAGTAACTTCAAATCATTCAACTTAATTTTTCCATTACCAAAAGTTCATTGAAATATGAAATAGTTTTTCATAATTTTGTCTGCCGGAGTTTTTCCCGAAGTTTTCCAACTCCGGTACTCCGGCGCACAGCTCTAAGGCCCCTCTAATCTACCATCTTGGCAAAAAGTTAATGAAACACCTATAAAAAATCAATAAAACAGACAAAATCCCCTCCCCCTGCACAATGTTGGACATAGATTCTAAAAAATTGTGTACAATAGTTCATCGATGGCAGAGAGCACTACTGTGTAGGTTTCTTGCTCATCTTAATCAACATTGGAAGGGGGGAAGAATAAATTAAATTGTTAATCAAACTGGATGTTTCATTAGTTTTTGCCTCTGAGACAGGCCTTGCCTAGATACACAGAACTGGTCTAACCACAGGCTGACTGGTTCAGTGACCAAAAGGACGAAAGAGATACAAATATGAATCTAACCTTTCTACCATGGGTAGGATCATAAAGATCCTCTTTGGGGTTTTTCTCTGGGTGCGGCATTCCGGCCGGATCACGACCAACGATGTAGAAATTCGCCCCAGCTGCGACACGAGCCTTTGCATGCCATTGCACCTGAAACACGAAATGTTTGTTTTATTATAACAACAACATTTTAACGAACTAAACTAACTTTATTTATCATTCCTTATAGATCCAGTGTTACTACAGGACGAAACCTAAACTAAATTAACTTTATTTATACTGAATAGCTCTGTCAGTTCTAAACTGTTCTCCCTAGAGGTCCAGTAAGGATCATCTCTTATTGACCCAGTGTTACTACAGGAAGAAACCTAAACTAAACTAACTTTATTTACACTGGATAACTCTATCATGCAGTTTTAAACTTTTCTTCCTAGAGGTCCAGTAAGGATCATCTCTTATTGATCCAGTGTTACTATAGGAGGAAACCTAAACTAAATTAACTTTATTTATACTGGATAGATCTATCAGTTCTAAACTGTTCTTCCTAGTGACCAGTAAGAATCATCTCTTATTGATCCAGTGTTACTACAGGAGGAAACCTAAACTAAACTAAATTTATTTATACTGGATAGTCCTATCAGTTCTAAACTGTTCTTCCTAGAGGCCCATTGCAGCATACTAAATATATCCTATGAACCCTTCAATGACCCCAAATCACACCACATACCTCGGTAGGTCCTGCATACATCATGGGCGACGGAAATATAGCGAGTACAGTGTTATCCGGATCCAGGACCCCATCATCCAAGACCGCGTGATGTTGCTTTATCCGGACAGGAAGTGGAACGTCATCCTGTTTCGTCCAGCCGCCCAGAGGATGAAGGAGCAAGACTGGTTTCTTAAAACCACGCTCTACCAACTTCTTGTGTGTGTCCTGAGAAAATATGACAGCATTACTACATGATCTTAACGCATTAAGGCTATACACTGCAAAAACAGACAATTCCCATTATAGGCTAATTTTAAAACTAGGCAAGGAGATGCAAATAAATCACCACAGCTAGAAAGAGCATACTAAAATGAGTAAAATTGCGAAGTTTGGTTGCGAAATGTTGTAAAATGCGGAAAATACAGTCTTGCAAAGTTCGCAAATTTTGTATACTTTTGTATTGCGTGCGGAAATTCCTACCACATTTGGACCGAAAATTTCCACACGCAATACAAAGAGTATAAAATTTGCGAACTTTGCAAGACTATATTTTCCGCATTTTACAACATTTCGCAACCAAACTTCGCAATTTTACTCCTTTTTGGTATGCTCTTTCTAGCTGTGGTGATATATTTGCATCTCCTTGCCTAGTTTTAAAATTAGTCCATAATGGGAATTGTCTATTGAAAAAAAACTAAGCAGGAAAATCAATTATGCATAATTCAAGATCAGTAAACTCAATGTTTTTAACAATAAAAATGTTTTAAAATGTTAAAAACATTAAATTTGCTGATCCTGAATTATGCTTAATTGATTTCCCTGCTTAGTTTTTTCAATTAAAATTTAAAAGGGCTGTACCCTGGTTGAAAGCGGCAATTGATTCATCGAGCCGCGCCAATCAGTTTGAATTAGGGTCAGATCCTGACTCTGTCTCCTGATTGGATGATTGTATTAAAGCTCTCTGATTGGTTATAGATGTTTTATTTGAATCATTCAGAGAGCTTTAATACAATCATCCAATCAGGAGACAGAGTCAGGATCTGACCCTAATTCAAACTGATTGCACGGCTCGATGAATCAATTGCCGCTTTTAACCAGAGGATTATTTTTCCTCTCCCCTTCGCAATGAAAATGATAAAAATAAACCTCTGGAACCAGGGTAAAAGGGCTGTAATGGTAAGGGTCTTAAAATTCATACAGAAGGATGAACTGTGCCTTTAATGCATTAAAACTATACACTACACCGAACAAAGGAATTTAAACGAAAAGCATTCGTGAGATGCTTGGTTTGCAAACGGTACAAAAAAGCACTTCCATGCTCAAATTCTTACGGTTAAAGCGACGTTTTCAAACAATTTCGCTTAATTGTGGTGAATTTTTCTCACATAAGATCATTATAGAGTGTTTGCAAAGAATGCAGAATCTTGAATGATTATGTTACCTACTTTCATTAACAAGGCATGCCCGTTATGGATTGGATTTCGTAGTTGAAACGCGAACACAGCGTCGGCATTTCTCTTCCTGAATTCACGTCTCAGCTCATTCGGGGTCTTCCTATATTCATCCAAGCCATCGCCCCATTTGATTCGCTCAAACACTTCGAGGTCACCTCCAACTAACCAATCACCGCCCTCGTAACACATCTAGGTAAACAAAATGAAACTTTCTCAGGTAGTTCAGACACAAACCACGATAGCTTATTGTAGAATACTAGTAGTATTCTACAATAAGCTATCGTGGTTTGTGTATACTACCTACACTGGACCACCACATTTGATATATCTTTTTCAGGTAGTTCAGATACAAACTATGACAGCTTATTGTAGAATACTACCTACACTGGACCACCACGTTTGAGATTATACAATTACTTTATGGTTTCCGTGTTTGGATGGCCTGATCCAAACACGCGGGAATGTTGCGAGAGTTAAGAAAAGCGCGCGAACACGAGCCGAGGGCGAGTGATTTTGCACGCTTTTCTTAACTCGAGCAACATTCCCAAGTGTTTGGATCAGGCCATCCTAACAGGGAAACCATAAAGTAATTGTTTTATAAAATAACAACAACACGATAGTCTTCCGTGTTTGGATGGCCTGATCCAAACACGGGTTTCGACCAATCAGAGCACGCGTTATATACATGTTATTTTATAAATCCTTTTCAGGTAGTTCACACACAAACCACGACAGCTTATTGTAGAATACTACCTACACTGGACCGCCACGTTTGAGATATCATCGTCCTTACCTTGATATAAGGATGTTCTTTCGTATACACGCCCCACTGT